GAGATCACGATGGTACCTTTCTCTTCGTGCCTCTATGCTTAGTTCGCTCGGGAGAGGTACAACAGATCGGCCGCTTTTTGGCGTTATTTTGGTGGATTTCTGCTCTCAGTAATATGGCAGGCAGAACTAACCAGTCTATTCTCATGTAGCATGGCCTTGTGCATAGTTTTAATCATAAAATGAAACTGGGGTAGCTAAAGCTTGTTTGCAGGAGGGAGAATAAGACATTTTCTCTTGTCACGGGGGAGCGCACTTGCTTTAAACACCTGTTTTTACACAGCTAACACATTTTATTTTTGTATCAAAGAAAAATATAAACATGTGCGTATATTATAAGAGCCCAAGTACAGGTGAAATAGCTTGCGGGACTTCACTAGAGACCATTCTTTCCAGCCATGTCAGGCATTTTCGTCCGCCTCTCACTGTCACAGAGACTGTACCTGAATAGTTACATTGATTTGAATGGGATCACGTGATCTGTTTCCAATCCCGGTTACGTAGTCTATAATATCTATGCTGTACCTAATAATTTAAATACATTTACTATTAAGCAAATTATAGTGGGTGGGGCTAATCAATATGAATAACAGGGTGTTGATCAGTGGATCACTATTAATTGATAATTATAAAAGTAAAAATAAAATCTGAAATACAAATTATACTAATCAAGTTGAACTGTAACATAGTATAACTCAGTTTTAATCTTGAATAGGTAAGAACATAGCTTTTGCTTAACACGCATTACAAATAAGTTGCAACAGTAGAAGTCCTTCCTTCCCTCCCTCCCTCTGCACTTGCGTGAGGAGGCAGAGGAGGAGGATGGGAAGGAGGAGCTGAGGAAAAATGTGAATCTACAAAAGATTAATGAATAAATTATATCAAATAAGATGTAATTATTTACCATCATTGACATGATGTGGTAAATTCCTTGCAGCATCAGTTCCACCATTAGTTTCTTGTCCAGTAGTAGTAGCTCCATTACTTTTCTTATCAGGTATTGCTGGAGGAGTAGCTCCAATTACAGTAGTACCACTAGCAGTAGATACTACCACATCATCATAAGACTGAGGTTGAGCAGTGGCTTTAGGTACAGTTTTTTTAATGTCAGCATATAAAACTGATGGTGCTTCAGTTTTTGCTAATTTAGTAGTTGCAGGTGCTAATCCTAAATCTGAATATATCAGCTCTTTAGCAGCTCCTCCCTCAGTAATAGTTTCTTTTTTGCTTGTGGATGATTTTGATTGTTTCTAAGATAAAATAAACTGTTAAATTTTGCAATAATAATGGCCAACCTTATTTTTATTCACTTGTTTTGCCATTACTTCACTATTTCCAGGTGTAGCAGGACTAGCTTCAACAGGATCAATATCATATGGCTTTGGGGCAATATTGTCACCTTCAGGAACAACAGTTGTCTAATGACAAAGGAATAATAAAACACATGCTGTGACAAAACTTATTATACCTACATAATCAACAAATAATTATTACTGTATCAGATACATTTGTATTGAACAAATTAAATAAGTTTATATTTTAACGCTTTACCTCAGTTTGTGCTTTACTGACCATATCATGTTCAGACTATAATTAAAATATTATTAATTATTTCAAAAATTATTTTATAACATACATTGCTCATACTAACAGATGAACAAGCAGAACTCTACAAACAATAAAAATACATTAATCAAATAATTTACTAATGAAGCACTATGGTGCAATGGACTCGCCTACTGGAATTCACTTGAGTGATATGTATTACTTGTACTGTGATATTTTAAGCAATTTGAAAAAAATTATTATTATGGACTGCATAGTTATAATGATAATTAAAATAAGCTATGGGTGTGGTCAACAACTAACTAAATCATGGCACATGGGTAGGAGAAAGAAGAAAAGCTGAAATTTATTTTAGCATCTAAAGCTCTATTCCAAGAAAGAGTTGGCACAGAAAATTTTTCTAGATATTTAAAAGAGATTGAGAGAGTTTAGTTGTCCCTGCTTTCCCCAGTGCCGCCTGAAAAATTCTCAAAGAGGCTAAATCACAAAGTTTGAGCAACTGTAACTCACAAACAACGAAGTTAGAACAAAATCGTTCTTTTTGTTTTTCGTTAGATGGGATTTTCTACCTCTGAAGCAAATCTCGGCCCTGTAGAGTGAAACACGAGCTCTCACCTGGAGAGAGGTCCCCTGGTTTAGCAGTTCACAGCTTTTGGTGCCACGGGATGCTACAAGAGCATAACTAGATGAAAGAAAGCAACTTTATCTGTTGCTAGAAGAAGAAATAGAGCTCTAGACTGCTCAAACAAAAAGATATTTTTTTTAGAAATCAATTAAACTGTGTGGACAGAATGACAGAATGACAACCCAACTGCTTAGTACCCGCCTACGCGAGTCCAACAATCATTAGTACATGCATGTAGATATAAACCAGTGAGTGTGACTTATTAACTTACTCCATCAAATTGTACCCTTTCAGGAAGTAGTTGTCCTCTCTTTTCTATTAAACAAATAATAACAATGTCAAAAGAAGAAATACTAACTATTTCTCTTCTTATAGCATATAACCACTATAATCACTATTATTATTATTACTATCAGTAGTACAGCAATACTACCACCAACACTAATTCCAATAATTACTATAAATACAATAAATGAATAAGTTAGTGCAGTTTATGTGTAATGGTAAACCTGGTCTAGTTATTATTGGATCAGGAGATGAAGTACTAGTAAGTGATGGAGTAGGATCAATTATAGGAGTAGTGTCTAGATAATAATAACATATAATGATAAAAATAACATACATACTCACCAAATGCTAGTATAAATGGTTTACTACTACCAGCCTCATTACTAAATACAACAGTGATATTACACTGTTGATACTGAGGTACTGATATTAATCCTGTTATATTCATTGGTCGTTTAGCATATTCCACTAGTATAGTATTATCATATACAACACCAGTTCCAGTACACTGTATAGTAACTGTAGCATTCTTAGGAGCTTCACCAGTACACTCCAGTGTAATCTATAATAACATTTTGATAACATTAAATATTAACAAAGGATTATTACTGGTATATCATAAGAAGCAGTAGCACTAGTCTCATTAAATGTTATTATATCTGAAGCACCTTTTTTAACTGATCTTGGAACTAAATAAACATAAAATCATTTATTCAGTAATTACTGTTTATTGTACCTCTTTGATATGAGAATGTATCATTATTAGATATTCCTTCTCCTAATTCATTAACTCCAGTTATAACATATTGATAACGATGAATAAATAAAACATTATCCACAAACTGATAACTGGTATCATATACTGCTACAGTATTCACTAGACTACCAGTAGTAGCACCATATATTCTTAGTATGTAATACTGTATAGATACTCTATCATCAACTGTAGGAGCAGTCCATGTTATATCAATAGTAGAACAGTTGTCAATTGAAGAGTCAATGTTAGTAACTGGACCAAGAAAACCTATATAAAGTATACAAATGAACATTTGAGTAGGGAAATATTATTTACCAAATCCAAAAGAAGGTATAGGTGGAAATTCTCCTCCATTATTACTCAGTGATACATTAACAATAAATGTATTTAAATTATTAGGTACAGTTATTACTCCAGTAATCATCAGTTGATCATTAACTTGTGTTGATATACTGGTATTCTTTATGACTGCATTATCAGTATTCAGTATACTAACTGTTATACTAATGGGATACTCTCTTTCACATAGCTCAGTGACCTAAGGGGGTAAGAAATCAACGTGATCAAGAAATGACTTAAAAGTATGCATGCATTCCTTTTTTGGGCTGGCTAAAATTGTCATAATTAATTATGTACTTGCCAGGACTTAGAATACAAAATGAACAAGAGTTTTGTACTTTAAGTAGTTGCAGCGGACACTTAAAATACTTAATTTACATGTCACCAGGCAATAAAACCATGTCAGAGCCCATTTTCTTTTTGGCAGTGGTTATTTTTACGGGCCCGTAATCCCACCGTGGGTGGCTATTTTTACGGCAGGATGATTTACTCATTTTAAAACCTGGGAAACACTCTAAAATAAAAAAACTAAACCCTAAACTAACCTTGGGGACTCCTAACATAACTAGGGGGCTCATAAAATGACTGGGGACGCTCTAAAAAAAAAACCGCCACCCTAACCCCTAAACCCTAAAAACAATAGCTAAGTAGGGGACTCCTAACATAACTAGGGCTCCTAACATAATTAGGGAACATAGCGAAGTAGGAAGATAAAAAATCAATTTGTTAAAGTCAAAA